TGAAGCCAGAGGGAAGTTTCTCGTTGTACTTCACAATCATTTTAGCAAACGATGCTTGGCGCCTCTATGAAGGCAACAGTGCAAGGTGATGACAGGGAGCATGTGCGAAGTGTCTGATGTGCGTTCTCAGGACTTCTACAACAATGTAAGTTTGTATCGGATAGTCACCAGCGATTGCGATTGTTGCCTCTGTTGACGCACATCTGGGCAGACCAAGGCACACCTATCAGTGCTTGAGCTTGTACTGCCTGTAGAACACGAACATTGGTCTTGCAGGTATTGCTAAGCACGGGCAAGCTATATCTCAAGAAACAGAAATAGAGCTCTGTAGAGCTCCATCATTGCTTTTACTGACATCCCCCACGTCTTTCCAGCCAGAAACTTGAAACTTGAACAATTGGGAAATAGCAGTCAGGTGCTTCTTCATATAGGCCACAATCGAACTCCAACAGAGGTCCCTATCAATATTGATGCCCAGAAACCGGTGGATTCTGGCGTAAGAAATCGAACGCCCGCCAATTGAAATGACATAAGAGGTCATTGCTTTGCGAGTGAAGGCCACCAGCGCGCATTTTTCTGGTGATATGCTGAGACCTTGTTTTAACAAGTAGTTGGCAATCATAGTTGCTGCTCTTCGAAGCCACGAACGTATCTGAGGACGTGTGACTGCCAAAGTGCAGACACAGATGTCGTCTGCGTATATTGAGATTTTAATGGTACTTGGCAAGTATTCAGCAAGGCCAATTAGTGCAAGATTGAAAAGCATTGGGCTAAGAGGACGTGTGACTGCCAAAGTGCAGACACAGATGTCGTCTGCGTATATTGAGATTTTAATGGTACTTGGCAAGTATTCAGCAAGGCCAATTAGTGCAAGATTGAAAAGCATTGGGCTAAGAACTCTGCCTTGAGGAACACCCTTGGAAGTATAGCGTCGCGTAGTTGGGCCATCTTCTGTTAACACAAACGATCTTGCAGCCAGGTAACTCGAAATCCACTGAAAGACTCGACCACCAAGGCCAACCACCGCAAGAGCACCCAAAATGGCTTCATGTAGTATATTATCATACGCGCCTTTCTCATCTAGAAACAAAGCTGTCGATAGTCGCTTACGAGATCTTTCGTGCTAAACGTACGAAACTAGATCAACGACATTGTCAATGGAAGAGCGGTCGCATCGGAAACCAGCCATAGAATTCGGATAAATCTTGTAGTATTCAAGATACCACTCCAGGTGGCCACTCCAGTATCATCCGTTCCATTATCTTCCCTACGCAGCTGGCCAGTGCTATTGGGCGGTATGAGGCGAGTTATAGTGGGGATTTGCCCTGCTTCAAGATGGGTAACAAGCGGCTTACTTTCCAGTCCTCAGGAACATTGCCATCCTGCCACGAGATGTTGTAAAGGCCCAACAGTTCTTTCCTTGCACCTTCCCCAAGGTTGCACAAGGCTCGGTACGGAATACCATCTGGGCCCGGAGAAGTTGAACGCCTGCAGAGACCTAGTGCCATTTCGAGCTCCTCCATCAAAAAGGGGAGGTCCATGTGGTAGTCAAGGGAAGGGAACGGGGGACGTCAGCTTTCACTGGAGAATCTGGACGAGTGGCTTGGTTGGCGATCTGCGCACAGAAATCTTCTGCCACATCGATGTCTTGCCTCCCTTGAAACAGCGCGAGCGCTTTGAATGGAAAAGGCTGTTTTGTAGGGTGACACAGACTTTGCACCGTTTTTCGAATGTGTGGGTGGCTTGCGAGGGTCTAGTGACTGACGAAACGTTGTCCATCGTACCGACGCTAATCTATCCATGTGACGCCGAATCTTCTTTTGCATGTTCCTGGCTGCCCTAAGATCGCGAATTGATTTTGTACGCCGATACCGATGCCCTGCCCGGCGTCAAAGTGCTCGGCGTCGCTCTAACTTTATGTCAAAGTTGTTTCGTGCGGAAGATATTTGTCACTGTGCGAGTGGCGTTTTGCATTGTGCTCTTAATTGTTTGCTCTAACCAAGATCACAGGCCATCGCTGCAAGCATCTGCCATGTCTGATTTGAAGTTGGTCCATTGGACTGCTCGAATGCTCATTCGTGGGCCACAACGAGACAAGCCTTTGATGTTAAGGTAGACTGGAATGTGATCACTTCCTCGTGTCTCAACATCTGGAAACCACTTGACATATCTCGAGAGGGAGTTGGAAACAAAAGCAAGGTCGAGACAGCTGCCGTATGTCACCCCTCAAAGAAAAGTGGGGCTATCGTCGTTCAGGAGAGTAAGGCCATAGTTGTAGGCGATGTTTGCTAACCTGCGTTCTCTTGCATTTGTCCGCGTACTTCCCCATGCGTAATGGTGCGCATTGAAATCACCTATGATGACCCATGGTGCAGGACACACTCTCAAAATATCCGCTCATCTCCTGGAATCGAGATTATTCGAAGGCGATATATAAGCGTCTATGAGAGTAAACATGAGTTTGTTCTTTTTCACAGTGATGCAGACATACTGATTGTCATCGTGAGGCGCAATCAGTTGCACAACATACTTCAGTTCACGACGAACAAAGACGATGATTTTGCTGCACGCACCGTTCGTTGAAGAGATGACAGCTTCGTATCCTGAAAGTCTTATTGGTTTCGACAAATCGGGTTCACAAATGACGATGAGTAGAAACACGTTGGTAAACACAAACTGACGAAAATCTGAAAGGGGGGATTTTAGTCCTCTGGCGTTCCATTGGATGACGGATGCAGCCTTGACTTCTTCACGAAATGATGAGGTGTGAGTAGCCATCTTCCTAGTTGAGAGATTCAAGCACTGGGCTTAGGGCGTCCAATACTCCAAGTGCGCTTCGAGCAAATGGTGTCTTCATGTCGACTAATATTGCTCGGATGGCTTCTATGAGGGAACGCAGCACCAAGATCACTTGATGATCTGTTTTAGGCAAATCTTCCATGGCTGGAGACGGCTCTGGTGTGGCCGCAACCTGCTGAGGTTCCTTGGCAGAAAAGCGGGTCACGAGCTTGGGCCATTCCTCCGGAAGAGGAGGCTTCTCCGCTTCTTTCATAGAAGTGATGGGTCCTTTCGTGGTGCTACAGGGTGGAACCACTGAAAAGTGGGAACTAGCATTTCGAGAATGTGCCTTTTTTGAAGACTTTCGATGATGCCGACGTGGACGCCGACGCCGGACTACTTTGGCTACCTCCCTGTGTGTCGAGTTGTCTCGGGCCATTTGTCTGAGAACCGCGTGCTCCTTTTGGATTTGAGGACAGTCTTTCGACGAGGCAGCGTGAGGACCGCTGGAGTAGGCGCACTTCGGAGTAGTCCGGCCGACATGGTTGGGCATATTCTTAAGGGGATCGCACATGACTCACTCAACAACTTCATCTACAAAAATTATTCTACAGTGGATGCCACTATTAAGAAATGCCGCCGTTTTGAGCAAGCGAAGAGCCGGCGGATTGGCAGCGTGTTCCGTTGGCCTGTTAAAGTTGCACAACAACAATCTGTACCGTCGCAGCTTTAACGCCGATGGCCGGAAATTACCACTGGTGCTTCCCCATCAATTACATACCAGCGTTCTCGAACAACTGCACGGCGTACATACAGCCGGTCACCTCAGTGTCCCTTGTACCTACAATCGTGTGCAACCTCGCTTTTTCAGGCCCAATCTTTACCGTTCAGTGGTTCGCTTCATCACAGCTTGTGAATGCTGCCAATCGCCACAAGCACCCCTGTCTGCTACCGTCCGGCCTCCTACAGCTTTGCCATCACTCAAGCACTGCCGACAAGCTGTTTCACTGACGTCACTGTTCTTTTTTTTTATGAACTCATTTTTCATCACGACACCCAACGACAGCTGCTTACTGATCGAGGAAGGTACTTCCTTTCACATGTTGTGGATGACTTCCTCCGTGCTTGCTCCACTGAGCACATGTTAACCACCACTTATCATCCACAGACGAATAGATTAACCGAGCGTCTGAACTGATGCAGATGCTCTCAGTGTACGTTTCACCAGATCACCATGAATGGGACAAGCATTCACCTTTGTCACCTTTGAGAACAACTCTTTACGACATGACACTGCTAGTTATTCGCCGTTTTATTTTCTAATTGGCCGACATCCAGCGTTATCATTTGACACACTTCTTTCGGCTGCCCCCTTGCCTACTGAGTACGCCAGCGATTTCATTGCTCAAGCCCACGCAGCACACCAGCTTGCTTATAATCGGCTAAATTTGTCGCAAGTGCACCAAAACGACCGTTATGAGTCGCCACCAAAGCGTGCACTTTCCACCGGGGTCTCTGGCCCTCCTATGTACACCAAACTGCCAAGTTGGCTTATCAGAGAAGCTCCCACTAAGCTACAACAAGACTTATAAAAAAGTGTTATAGAACAACTCAGTAATGTGAATTGCAAGATCACGCCCCTGGACATTGCCTCTTCGACAGCCTCACCCCTACGAACGCTGTCCACGTTCCCAGACTGCAACCGTATCACCCTGCCAGTTTATTGCCGCCATACCATGCGCCGTGATGGCGCATTTGCCGCGGGGCAATAATGTTACGATGCATTATCAACATAAGCAAGCGTGAGCCTCTCCGAAGATGATAAAGATGGGTTTGTGTTGAGCACTTGCGCGAGAGGCTGCTTACAATCATCTTGTTAGGTTGCCAATTCTTTGTGGCAGTTACTCATTAAATCTATATCTTGCCCCACCACATTACATAGCAACATTGTCACACCTAAATATGACGATAGGAGAGGTGTACGAATAATTTGTGGGTTACCCGATGAACTCTGAGCAAGCTCCTTTAACATCATTCACTTAGTGACAGTCATTTTTTTTTTACATTTGTACGTTCTCAAAATTTTAGTTGGCTGCACGTGGCATACAAGGCTTGATTTCAGCCAGTTTTCCTCTCCTATCCTCGTGTTTATGCGCACTGATCTTATATATACATTATAACCAGTTAGCAAATGCATCAAAAACAGCAGCAGAGACACATACCAAGTATGTACGCAGCTACCAGCTTCTGCTGATGGGTTAGCTGCAGGTACGGATGGCTGCCGCCACTTGCTCCTTCCAATGGCAGCACTAGTGCTGCCAGGCACACCAACGCCACCAGTACTATTGCAAAGCTGGGCCCATTTGCAGCAGCACGGCTTGGCTGTCGCTCAGTTCCCAAAGATGGCTCCAGGGGCACAGAACCTACAAACAGGCATTAGGGCAGATGCTGTGAGCATCGATTCCCCAGACTGTGAGCACATGCATCTTTAAAGAAAAAGAACAGAAAATTCGGCAGATCCCGTATACCATGAGAATCGATGTTATGCGAAGCGTGTGCAGGAAAAGTGACTGCTTCGTCATTCATTCTTCAAGGAAACATTCCAAAGGATGCTACAGTGATATATCGGTATAGCGAACTTCAGGGGGCCACATTAATTTGTTCGTTATTTTGAAAGGTTGTTATGGTGAAAGCCCAAAAATTAACCATAAATACTTATTTTCCACCAACCAAAACGACTTACCTTTACAACGGTGGGTCCTTGAACTTGTTTTTCACGAGAAAAAAACTAATGCACAAGTGAACACCCAAAAATGCATGTTTACTTTGAAAAAGTGTGTGTTTTTTTCTTTTACACGTGCAGCACAAACTTTGCAGCGCAAAGGGCCTTAGCTCATCCACATTCCTGAGGTGTGATTCGGTTCTTTGGTCACAACAGCCTGCTTTTTGCCTTCCAGTTGCTGAAGAATATCCACTTTCTCGCTTAGCGAAAACTAATTCCACTTCTTTGTCGCAAGCAGAGACAAATTCATTCGTAGTAGCACTGAAACGCGAACGCCGACTTGCTTTGCAGATGCAATAAGTAATCATTGAAAACCGATAAACACAACTGACAAACAAGGCCTCCTAGTGCTAGAGCACATGTAAAAGTGACAAAAAAAAAGAAAAACCCGAAGTGTCCCGGCTGTCATCGTCTCTTCCGAACAACAAAAAGTGCTAAAAAAGAAAATTCCTCGCATTTCGTTTTCTGTTCCCTCGCTGTCGCAGGTTTTCCACACCCATGCTTCCTGCTCCGCAACTCCCACTCTGCCCCCTGCTATGGAGGCTGGAAGGAGAGGTGTCAGCATCGACCCGGCCGTGCCTTGAAAGGAGGGGTGCTGGTATTTCATTTTGCCGCGGGGCGGCACCCAAGTCACCACTGAGATCGGACGAGAGTGCTCGCCAGCAGCACTTTTACTTTTAGACTCGCTTGCTCGTGTGCTAACAAGTTGCAACGTCTGTGCTGCGCCTATTTCGACTTGTTCGGGATCAATACATGCCAATGTGACCATGACACAGTGATGAGTGAACAGCAAAGACACTGCTTTGCACCTGAATGCAATGCGGGATATGCAATGCGAATATGCAATATGGATATGAGGGAAGAAAGCGTCTCTCTTCTCTGCTCTCTCCAACAATGAACGGCGCAAGGCTTGGGAGTGTGCGATTCCCCGTGCTGACAAACCACTGGAAATGAACTGCGTTGTGTGCAAAGCTCATTTCGACGAAATATTCGTTGTACATGGCTACAACCATGTTATCAATGGGTTCTAAGCAACTTGCGAAAAATCTGTCCCTACTAAAGAGGGTGGGTTCCTGAGTGAGTCAACAACCGAAGGAGTCCGTGTCATTCTAACCAGCACCCTTTCCATCCTGCACTATGTCACAAAAATCTTGGGCTATAAATACTTGGTGACGTCTTGCCTCTGCCAAGACGCGTTAAAAATCTTTTTGGTATTCTGAAGCAAATGCAAATGTCTGGCTCGATTGATCACCCTACGCCGACACAGTTTTTGACCTCCGTGAATTGCCTGAGTTTTTACAGTTTGGCACAGCCACTTTCCAGTGGGAACATACCTTCCAGAGTTCTGAACAGCCTTCTTTGTCCCGGCATCCACAATAATTCAATAAAACTGCACAATAAGCTGGATGAGCTACTAGATGTGGGGCACCTCAATGAGGTTCTTGAAATTGTGAGGAAGAAGATGGACACATGCGGAAGCGCATTGCCAACGCCTGGCTCGCTCGGCTGTTCGCTTCCTGGCTATGCTTTGCCTGCTGCTGCTATCTCCCCGGTCGCAGTGTACCTAAATAAACCCCCATAACAAGTGGTGGAGCTGCTGGGTCGTGCCAACCTGTAACTTCGCAGCCGGAAACTCAAGCCAGCCTCTGCAATGCCAGATGAAGGACCAAATCAACCGCAACAACAACCTGCTGTCCTGGTGCCCACATTGGTCTGCCCTGGCCCATCGCGTCAACGCAACCCACCAATCTTCGACGGTACAGAAGAGGAGGATGGTGAAGACTGGCTCGCTGAATACGAATGGGTAAGCGTGATCAACCGCTGGGATGACGCTGCGAAGCTCAGCTATGTGTCATTTTATTTGAGTGGCTTCGCCAGCATGTGGCATCCAAACCACCAACGTGACTTCCCGACGTGGGCTGCTTTCAAAACGCACGTGACGGAAGTATTCGGGTGCCCCGCTGTTGGCAAGCTTCAAGCCGAGCAACGGTTGCGTGGCCGCGCACAGCAGAATGGTGAAACATTCACCAGCTACATTGAAGATGTTGTCGACCTGTGTAATTGCGTTGATGTTGCAATGGCCAATGCTGATAAGATCAGGCATATCTTGAAAGGGATTGAAGACGAAGCTTTTCAGATGCTGTTGGCACAAAACCCGTCCGCAGTGTTTGAACTTGTTAGTCTTTGCCAAAGTTTTGATGAACTGCGCAAACAACGCACAGCCATGCGCCGCTCTCATTCACAGGCGACTTCAATGTCGGGATTGGCTGTTGCTCCTGACAACTCATCTCTGCTGCTACAGATTAAGGATTTTGTTCGTGAAGAGGTCGCTCGCCAGCTTTCGCTGATGCCGCTTGTTCATGAACAGTCAAATTCTGCGTTGGCGCCCCCTCTCCAAAACATCATCAGAGACCAGGTCGCCGAAGAGGTCTCGTCTTCGATCCATCAGGCTACGACTACTGCTCCCCTGACGTATGCCGCAGTCGCTTCTAGGCCTGTGATGCAAGGCTACAGCCCTCGTAATCCGCCTATTCGCCCGCCAGTATCGCCGCCCGCCCGCCCAGTCGTACAGTACGCACGAGCCAACGACCCTTGGCGCATGCAAGACAACCATCCCATTTGTTTTCATTGTGGCCTTATTGGACATGTGGCCCATTACTGTTGCTTTCGTGCACCACCTATCTCCAACAGTGTGCGTCCACCATGAGTCACGTATGTGCCACGTCAACCCCGCCACAATTATTCAGACGACTACGAATGTGATCCTACCTCCCGGACCCCACCATCCTCTCACCGATTGCCTTCTCCTCGCCGCCGCTCCCTCTCCCCCATGCACCGACGGCGGAGCCCAGTGCACCAGGAAAACTAAGTAGCACAGTTCAGGAGACGAGAACTGCAGTTCCGGCGAAGTGCATAAGGCCTCAAATTTCTCCCGGAACCTTAATCAAGCCGCTATAGAAGGAACAAGGACGCTAGCCCTTGTCGACGCCGGCGCAGCCCTTTCAGCGATTGATGCCCGCATTTGCCGCCATATCGAAAAAGTCATGACGGCTGTTTCTGGACTATCCCTTCGTGCAGTCAACGCGCAGCACGCCGAGCCATCCGGTGCCTGCACAGCCCGTGTCGTCATCCAGGATGTTTTATTTATGTGATCGAATTCATTGTGCTGCCATCTTGTCCTCACGACGTCATATTAGGGTGGAATTTCTTCTCTACATATCGTGCGATCATGAATTGCACACGCGCTGAACTCCAGTTGTTCCCATTTTCGACAGATGTCATCAATGACAAGGACACTTGTCGCAAAATCACAGTTTGTGACAACACCATTGTGCCTGCCCAGTCTACTACTGTTCTTGTCTCGATCTCTTGTGACTCTGAAAACAGCGGCTCAGTGCTTTTCGCACCGTCTACACTTCTAGTTCACTACCGATCACTGCCATTGCCATTTGCCGTTCTCAAGTGCCATTCAGGCACCTCTGTGATGTACATCACCCATCCATCGCCCGAGCCAACAACTTGGAGACGCCAAGAAACCCTCGGCAATGCCAAGCCGCTGGCATCATCTTCGATATTCGACACCATGAACAAACCCTCTGATATGGCCATGCTCGAGACATCAACTCCTAGGCCACTACCGTGATCTTTCACACCAGCTATAGCGAGCGACCTTACGACGATACAACGAGACCAACTTCTTCATATGCTCGATGATTTCTCTTCCTCTTTTGACTGCCAAGCAAGGGCACTCGTCTGCACGACTGTTTTGCATACTATCGACACCGGAAGCCATGCGCCCATTCGACAGCGTCCTTACCGAGTATCGGTGAGTGAGAGGCGCCTTATCGATGACCAGGTGAATGGCATGCCTAAACGCAGTGTCATTCAACCTTCCGACAGTCCTTGGGCATCACCTGTCGTTCTTGTTCGGCAGAAAGATGGCACAATACGGTTTTGCATCAATTATCACCGGCTTAACAAGATTATCCGAAAGGATGTTTACCCATTGCCACAAATTGATGACGCACTCGAGTGCTTGCAGGGAGCGAAGTTCTTTTCTTCCTTGGATCTCCGCTCTGGCTACTGGCAAGTGCCCATGGCTGAGACTCACTGCTCGAAAACCGCGTTTGTAACACCAGGTGAATTATACGAATTCACTGTAATGCCATTCAATCTATGTAACGCGCCCGCCACCTTTGAATGCATGATGGACGGCATCTTACGCGGCTTGAGGTGGCACACTTGCCTCTGCTATTTAGATGATATTGTCGTCTTTGCACCAGATTTCCCGACCCATCTACAACGGTTGCATCAAGTTCTGACCTATGTCCGAAATGGCGGTCTCCAGCTGAACTTGAAAAAGTGTCTATTCACCGCTAGAAAACTAACTATACTAGGCCACGTCGTTTCCAAAGAAGGCATTTTTCCCAATTCTGCTAAACTTCGAGCCGTATCCGAGTTCCCGAAGCCTACTAACCTGAAAGCACTGCGCACCTTCATTGGTCTATGCTCCTATTTTCAGCGCTTCGTTCGTAATTTTGCTACTGTCATCGCACCTCTCAATGCACTCCTCCAAGGCGACATTGAACTACCTACCTAGTCAGAAGCTTGTGACGATGCATTTACGACACTTTGACACCT